AGAATGCACCTCCATGAGGAATGGTCACGCAGCAATCCCTTCTCCTCTGTTCTCATCTTTTCAGATCTTTGGGCACGCACACATGCACCCACTGTGTTTCTCATGCCGACAGGACCAGGACTTGTTTCTCGGGGTCGGCTGTGTGGAATGCAGCTGCCTTAATGACCATGCCACCAGTTGGTCCCATTTGTACTGTATTAATTGTGCCATTGGTAATGCACTTAAAATAGTTCAGGAGTGCTTTGCTTCATGTTCTGGTTCCACAAGTACATACTCAATATAATAATTGCAGCCCATTTTTTTAATTTTTTTTTTTTAGTTTATTTATTTATACCAGAGGGGCCATAAGAAAGTGCCACCCAGGGATGGCAGGTGGAATGGTGGCTAAAAGTACTGGACTCCTACATGGCTAATAGCGGTTCCAGTCCTGGACCTGGTGGCTTCCTTTCTCAATTTTCCTCTCTCTCTCTCTCTCTCTCTCTCTAATCAAATTGGAAAAAAAATAAACAACATTAAAAAAAATAATTTTTAAAAAAGAGATAAAAAGAAAGAGCCTCCCAGTGAGGCCCTTGCCACTCTTCATCCCCTTTCTTCCATCCCTCCTTCCCACTAGGACCCCAGGCCTGCATGTCCACACACCTGTGTGTTTTAGGGTGCAGCAGCCATGGCTCTCTCCATGGTAGGTGAGGTGGGGTCCAGCTCTCTCTGCACAGACTTACCCTAGAATTCTGTCCCATGCCTACTATGTTGCAGAGTCCCACGTGAATTTAGGGAGCGTCTGAAACCTCACCTGTAGCAAGTTTTCAAGGAGGAGAATGTATCTGGTGCTCCTGTGAATGTGCATCCACACACCTCCCTCAGTTTTGCACGGCAGTTAAGCAGTTTATTTCAGTAATGATTAATTACATAGTCTTGTTAAATCATTTTACCTTTTTTTTTCTAGAAATAGAATGCAGGGTTCCAGAAATAGAACGAAACTTATTTGCTTATCCCATGAAAGAGAAATATAGAGTTGGAGATGAGCTGAAATTCTCCTGCCAAAATGGACTTACAAGAGTTGGATCGGATTTGATTCGGTGCTACCCCTTTGGATGGTTCCCTCCTGTCCCAGTATGTCAAGGTGAATGTGTAGCTGACACTTCCTGATGCAGGAATTCGAATTCTGAATATGAACCTTAAATTCATTTTTTCTGAGTGTTTCACTGCTTCTGTAATCTAATAAACCAAAAAGACATAGGCCCATGAAGGACATACAGTAGGTGGTAGATTCCTCCAATTCTCTTATTTAAGAAATCCCTGTCCAGTTGTTTCTGGAAAGGTGTTGTATATCATGCTGGGTAAAGACTCTTGACAATCTAAATGATGTATAGCAATTGAATGTATAAATACTAACAAAAACAATAGTAAATTTAAAATTTACAAAAATAACAACCAAGGATGCCATCAAGTGGTATGTTGAAATGCTGGACTCTCACTTTGCCCACTGTGGTTCAAGTCCCGAACCTGGAGGTTTGCTTTCTCCATTTCCCCTTCTCTCTCTCTCTGTTTTTCATCAAATTAAAAAGTAGTAATAACGAATGAAATTAAATTAATACATAATTCTTTTTAAAAAAAGAGCTACCAAGGACATGTAAGAAAAAAAGAGGAATAGGCGATCTATTTATTATGAAATCATTGTGAGATATGGGATCCCATATTATATGATGGCTTTGGAGGAAAAGATACTCAGAGCCCGGAAGTCACTAATACATCAACGGGAATACAGAGAAGGGAACTGAGTGATCTAGCAGCAGGGAGGAGGGCCTACTCATTGTAATGCCACTTTGTGCTCTGCTAAGGACAAATAAAGAACATTCACTTTTTAATTTTATATGTGTGATTAATTTTCATGGGTACCGATTTTTACATTATTCACACATCCCATTTCTTTTCAGAGAGCACATGTGATCCTCCCAATATTCCCAATGGGTTCTACTCACCTATGAAGAATAAATTCAGAGCTGAGGAAGAAATCACTTACCAGTGCAGTGAGGGGTATCATCCTGCCACCCCGGAAAGTAAGACGCAGTGCACGAGAAACGGCTGGGTGCCTCCTCCAAGATGTCACTGTAAGCTCTATTCGTTTCTTCACCTACTTCTTCATCCTAAAATGACTTTCTCTTAAAGGTAGAAAAATGGGGACACAGGAAAACCAAATATGCTCTTAATGTTTATGTAGAGAATTCAGAAGAATTATTGGCTCTTCAAAATAACCAACTCTAGATAACATAAAACACCACTTTTTGTGAACTAAATATTCTTATTTTTTTGTCACTCAAAATTAAATATGAATGTATATTTCTCTAATTATTGAAGTTTTTTCTAGTGTCTGAATTAAAGCATTGGGTAAAAATTTTGCCATCTAATATAGAGCATTTTAGTTGTTAATTGCATTGTAACAATTTTCCCTAAAGTGTACTTACTGAAAACAATGAACGGCCACTATCTCCCAGTTTCCATGAATCAGGAGCTGCTGTCCCCGGTGTGGGTGAGTAGCAATGAGTCACACTGTTCCCGTGTCACAGTCGGGACTTTGGCTGAGACTGAAGTATCTGAAGACCTAGGTGGGCTGGAGGATCTGCTTCCAACATTCTCTCATGTGGCTTTGTCAGAAGGTTTCAAACCTTTAGCACATGGGCCTCTCTACAGATTGATGGAGTGGTAACTAACTTTCTGAAAAAAACTAATTCCATTCTTATGTGAAAAGTACTAGAGGGCCAAGGATTGGGGTGCAGATTAAGGAACTGGATCCCGCATGGCCAGCTTAATGGTTTCCATTCCAGACCCAGCTGCTTGAGAACCACGCCGCCGGGCGCATGAGCATGCATTCCCCGAGTCCTGAGATGAATGGGGAGGAGAAGGCAGTCAATACAGCATGGCCATCCCCACGGGGGATCATTTCTCACTTTCCTTTTCTCTGTCTCTCTCCATGTCTCTCTCTGGAAAACATGCACACCCTGTCACAATAACCATAAAAAAAAAGGAATAGAAAACATCTTTCATGGACCAAACAATTGATCTCTAATATAAGTGCTCTTTAACATAAAATATTACTTATACTCTCCTTTGTTTTTTATTCCAAGTTAAATCCTGTGATGTTCCACAAATAAAACATGGAAGCCTAAATCGTTATGATGGTTACAGACCCTCCTTCCCAGTACCTCTGGAAACATCTTTTCATTATTCATGTGAAGACGGTTTTTTGACCCCCTTGGGACAACACCAAGGTTCCCTTAAGTGCACACAGGAAGGATGGTTACCCACAGTGCCGTGTCTCAGTAAGTGAACCTCTTTCCAGTTACACGGTAGTAACTCTTCCAGATGGGACAGGAGGTTATACGAGTGGTGACGGTTAACGGTGAGATCTTGTATGACAAAAAAGGGCCGAAGGGCGAGTCATATACAAAAAGAAGCTCTTGATGAAAACTGCATAAACAAAAATATAGAATTTACCAGAGTATCTACATCATTTATACATGTATTAAGTATAAAAACTACAGCTTAGTAACATTGAATATTGATTTGTCATTTTAACAAATAGTACTAGTATTAGTTTTTATTAAAATTGTATGTTTGTTGGGGGTGTTTATATACTCTCACTTAAATATTGTAAAAATAATTTTTAATTTGACTTTCTCTTAAACGTAGAAAAATGGGGACACAGGAAAACCAAACATGCTCTTAATGTTTATGTAGAGAATTCAGAAGAATTATTGGCTCTTCAAAATAACCAACTCTAGATAACATAAAACACCACTTTTTGTGAACTAACTAAATATTTTTTTTTGTCACCCAAAATTAAATATGAATGTATATTTCTCTAATTATTGAAGTTTTCCCAGTGTCTGAATTAAAACATTGGGTAAAAATTTTGCCTTCTGATATAGAGAATATTAGTTATTACGTGCATTGTAACAACTTCCCCTAAAGCATGCTTACTGAAAACAGTGAACGGCCACTATCTCCCAGTTTCCATGAGTCAGGAGCTGCTGTCCCCGGTGTGGGTGAGTAGCAATGAGTCACACTGTTCCCGTGTCACAGTCGGGACTTTGGCTGAGACTGAAGTATCTGAAGACCTAGGTGGGCTGGAGGATCTGCTTCCAACATTCTCTCATGTGGCTTTGTCAGAAGGTTTCAAACCTTTAGCACATGGGCCTCTCTACAGATTGATGGAGTGGTAACTAACTTTCTGAAAAAAACTAATTCCATTCTTATGTGAAAAGTACTAGAGGGCCAACAATTGGAGTGGAGATTTAGCAACTGATGCACAAATGGCCAGTTTAATGGTTTACGGTCCAGACCCAGCTGCTTGACAACCATGCCGGGCCCATGAGCTTGCGTGCCTCAAGTCCTGAGGGGAGGAAAAGGCAATCAATACAGCATGCCATCCCCACGGGGGGTCATTTCTCACTTTCCTTTTCTCTGTCTCTCTCCATGTCTCTCTCTGAAAAACATGCACACCCTGTCACAATAACCTTAAAAAAAAAGAATAGAAAACTTCTTTCATGGAACAAACCATTGAGCTCTAATGTAAGTGTTCTTTAACATGAAATATTACTTATACTCTCCTTTGTTTTTTATTCCAAGTTAAACCCTGTGACCGTCCACAAATAAAACATGGAAGCCTAAATCGTTATGATAGTTACAAACACTCCTTCCCAGTACCTCTGGAAACATCTTTTCCTTATTCATGTGAAGACGGTTTTTTGACCCCCTTGGGACAACGCCAGGGTTCCCTTAAGTGCACACAGGAAGGATGGTTACCCACAGTGCCGTGTCTCAGTAAGTGAACCTCTTTCCAGTTACACGGTCGTAACTTCCAGATGGGACAGGTTACACGAGTGGTGATGGTTGATGGTGAGATCTTGTATGACAAAATAGGGCCGAAGGGCGAGTCATATACAAAAAGAAGCTCTTGATGAAAACTGCATAAACAAAAATATAGAATTTACCAAAGTACTTACATCATTTCTGCATGTATTAAGTATAAAAACTACAGCTTAGTAACATTGAATATTGATTTGTCATTTTAACAAATAGTACTAGTATTAGTTTTTATTAAAATTGTATGTTTGTTGGGGGTGTTTATATACTCTCACTTAAATATTGTAAAAATAATTTTTAATTAATTATTTTGACCAAATAAATTTTTCATTTTCTCTTTCATTTATCATTTTTATGACTCTTAGGATGATGAAATTTGTACTATGTGGAAAAATGAAATTATCCATATGTCCTGGAAACATATGTACAGGATCAGTCTGTAAAAACTGACTGATATCGTGGGACCAGCAGTTAGTGTAATGGCTAAATTATTTTGACCAAATAAATTTTTCATTTTCTCTTTCATTTATCATTTTTATGACTCTTAGGATGATGAAATTTGTACTATGTGGAAAAATGAAATTATCCATATGTCCTGGAAACATATGTACAGGATCAGTCTGTAAAAACTGACTGATATCGTGGGACCAGCAGTTAGTGTAATGGCTATGTCGCTGGACTCCCATGTGGTCGACTGCGGTTCGCGCCCTGGACCCGGTGGCTTAAAACTCACGCTGGGCGCGTGTACGTGTGTGCCCAAGATCCCGAGAGGAGAATGGAGAAGAAGGGATTGCGGTGTGGCCATCCCCCCTGGGGGGTGATTTCTCACTTTCTGTCTCTATGTCTCTCTCTGTCTGTCTGGCGAGTGCACGCGCCCTATAGCAAAAACCTCTCAAAAAAAAAAAGTTGACTGCTATCTGTTACGGTCTTCCAGATCAGCAAACCGCAATTACCTGCACAGAGGACAGCTGGTCCCCTCCCCCTAAGTGTACTCCTATCAGTAAGTGAACTGCTCTCAGGTCCTTGGAGGTTCCTGAGTTTCAGAGACGCATCTATCCTGGCTGTGGCAAAATGTTTACAGCAGGTTCTTGTTTTGCCATTGGGCCTGTTTAGTTTTATTTATCTCAAGTGTGCATAAGTGGGTATGCAAATTTCTTATTAAATCAGTAGTAAAACAAATATGCCTATGAACAGACATTAAACATAAGATTGGTAAAATAATTTTAATACAATACTCATTAGTATATACTAATCACTTAATCATTCGACTCAACCTGATTATAGAATTATAGTCTAACATAGAGCATAAGTAATGTTCTATTTGGAGCAGTACTATAAAAGTGTTATGTTACTTCACAAAACACAAATAACATTTTTGCCTGTTTATTTATTTACTTATTGTCAGAAAGCACATGCACTCGCTAGAAAAAGACAAAGGGGGTGGAGGGGGAGAGCACCTCCCCATGTGGAGCATGGTCATTTTTTGATCCTTTCAAGGCTTGTTCTTAAAATGTATCAAGACTGGTTTGGGAAGCCTTTACTCTAGGACTCTTCATTCAGAATATTAATAAGGCTTTTGTTGGAATCTCTAACTAAATGAGTGTCAAAGGTATTTCACTCTGAATGTCAGACGGTTTCATGACCTCAGGTTTTAACCTTACAGTCTTCTGGCCCTGGTTCCTCCCCTGTCAGTTATTCTCTGCCCAGGCTCATGGAATTTTGCTTTGCTACAATGTGTTCATTGTCAGGCAAAGGTGTTAGATATTTGCTAAGCAGGTGTAAAGACTCCATAGCTGTTTCCTGCTTAGCTCCTTTTCTACAAAGTCTGATGACCCCTATCTATCAGATGATGCTTTTGTTGTTGTTGTTGCTTCTACTCAGTGAGATAGCCCTTTTCTGTGTGAAGTCTCCTCTCTGTGCCTTTGGAAATCTTCTCCAGGCACGAAGTCCAGAGCTCACCTCCTTTGTCCCCTTTTCTCTGTAATTACACTCAGGGGCAGCTTGTTTCCCAATGCCTGATGGAAGTTATTTTCATCAGTTTACTTCAGTCTCATTTTTCTAGCTGGAACTGTTTTCCAAGTTATTCTTACCTGGTGTTTTTCAATTTCAATAAATGTCTTTACAAACTCACCATTGACCGTTCATTTTCTCTATTATTTGTTTTTTATTTCATTTTTGCTCATATTTAATTTTTTTCAAAATTTATACATATATTGGATTTTATTTACTGTCTTCTAATTTAAAGATATTTTTATTTACTTAAAACTGTACTCATTTATTCTTTCCATGAGAGAGAGAGTGGTAGGGAGAGATAGAGACTGAGACAGACAGGGACACTGGCATCCCCAGCAGGGTCTTCACACTGAGAACCCATCTAGCCTCAGCTGGCCTGTGTCATGGAACTTCTCCCACACCTGGGGAGCTCAGGGAGGCCCCAAGATTCAAACCTTAGAACTTCTGCATGTGGGTCCAGCTTCACTCTCTAATTTCTAAAAATAGAAGCTATTATTATTTTTTATTTTTGTTTTCTAACTGTTTCATGATAACTCTCCGACTTAGCAGACTTTAGGAATATCTCATATTGTTTGGTTTCATATCCTTTCATCATAATTTCAATTCAAAATACTGTTGGGCCAGCAGATGGTGAGGAGATTCCAATGCTGGACTCCTGCATGGTCAACCATGGACCCTCTCCTAGGCTGGTGACTTGAAATCTCACTGGGCGCCTGTGCGTACTTGTCCAAGATCCTGGGATGAGAATGGAGTAAAAGGGTCTGTGGCATGGCCTTCCCCCTGGGAGGTGGTATCTCACTTTCCTCTCACTGTCTCTGTCTCTCTCAGTCAAGCACATCCACCCTAAGGCAAACACCTCTTAAAAGAAAAAATTACTATTTTTCCTTTGATTTCCTCTTTATTCATGTGAGAGAAGAGTTAAACGTAGAAGATGGAAACCAGGCCAACCCTGAGAACAAAACTCTGCAGTAAAGGAGACTGAGACAAGAGACAGAGCGAGGGAAATAGGTACCAGGTCAACCGTGTAACAAAACTTCCCAGGGGAAAAAACCCATAATGATTCTTCCCACCAAGTTTATAGCAGCTTCCCAGTCAGGCGTGCTGGACCTATGACAGATACCCCTTCATTCGTTAGCACGCTAAGAAATACAGCCCAGGGAAGAAATCTTAGATGCTAATGATACATATGACCAATGTGCAAGTAGGTTCAGCTATTGAGACCACATGCACAAGCGAGCAGACCTATGGGGACCCTCAAGACCACTCTTAAGCCCTAAAATCCAACCACTTTGATTAATAAGCATGTAAAATTCCTATAAAGGGAGAGCCCCGAAGTCACTCAATGCTGTTCCCCACAGAGCGGTCTGCTCTGCCGGTGGAGTGTGTTCCCACCTTTCTTCAATCCATTTTCTTTCCTTTGCTATTTGACTCCTGATCAGATTCTACTCTGTGGCTTAGTCTAGAACCTGAGAGATTCTCATTGCAGTTATCTGTGAACACAGCTGAATTCTGGGTAGAAATCTAGTAACTGACACCCAGTCTATCCATAACTGTTTCAAGCTAAGTAGCTCGTAATTTGTGAAATCAGCATTTTTGCCTTCTAGGTAGATGAACTGTTGGTCTTTCTCACCTTTGAGCTCCACGAACCCATATGGTTTTAAGCACACAACTATCATGTCATGTTAATATAGGATGTTAAAGTTTGTGGCAGCTAAGTTGACAAAAAGACCATCATCTGATTTAGATATCTCTACTATCTAAATACTTTCTAGGGCACCTATGAGAGCCAAACTAGTCCCAGAATTATTTATTTTTTTTAACGAATTATTTGGAACCAGCAGTTAGCGTAATGGCTATGTTGCTGGATTCCCACGTAGTCAACTGCGGTTCACGTCCTGGACCCGGTGGCTTAGAAATCACGCCGGGCGCGTGTGCGTGCGTGCCCAAGATCCCGAGAGGAGAATGGAGGAGAAGGGATTGCGGTGTGACCATCCCCCCTGGGGAGTGATTTCTCACTTTCTGTCTCTATGTCTCTCTCTGTCTGTCTGGCGAGCGCACACGCCCTATAGCAAAAAGAAAAACTCTCAAAAAAAACCCCAATTATTTTATTTAACTTTATTTATTTATTTATTTATTTATTTTAATTTGACCAGAGAGTGACAGAGTGAGAGAGAGAGAGAAAAGGAAAGGGATAAACTATGCTGCCCGGTCTGGAACTCGAACCGCAGTTGACCTTCTAGGAGTCCAGAACCTTTTCCCACCATGCCAGCTGGCCACCAGATATTTTCAAAAAGACCCAGGATAAAAAGAACATGTTTCCTACAGAAGTCTAGGATGCTGTGGTTTCCAAATCTGTTAGACCAAACAGATTTCTTTTAATTTCTTGAAGGGATTATCGAGGGCTAGTAGATGGCATAATGGATATGTCGCTGGACTCCAATGTAGTCGACTGCAGTTTGAGACTCAGAACTGATGACTTAAACTCATGTCCCGCACATGTGCATGGATGCCCAAGATCCCAGGAGGAGAATGGAAGAGAAGAGATTGCGCTGTGGTCATCCTCCCTGGGGGTGACTTCCTGCTTGCTATTTCTCTGTCTTTCCAGCGAGCGCACACACCCTATAGCCGAAATCTCCCACCCCCAAAAAGACGTGATTATCAGTGTTTCAAATCTTGCCTCTAAATAGTTACCCAAAAAATTCATAAGGAGTATTATAAAAGTATAAATTTTAGAAAGCCATAGTTTTTTTTTGACATATAAATTTTATCGATTATGATCATCTAGGTTTTCACTTACAAATGATTCATTGACATCTTTATATTTTCCCATTATTTGAGTCCTTATAAAAATGATATTGGACATATCCTTATCATTTTCTTTTTCGTATTTAAGAAATATGTTTGAAATCAGAAGTAGAACTTGAGAATGGGTTTCTGTCTGGACCCTATGAGACATACGCTGTAAATGCAGTGACACAGTATAAGTGCAAGCCAGGATACGTAACGGAAGATGGTGAAGAATCAGGAGCCATCACGTGCCTGCAAAGCGGGTGGTCGGCTCAACCCAGATGCATTAGTACGTGACTCCCTGTGCTCGTGCTCATACCTGATGGCACACATGTTCACTTTAACGTCTTTATTCCCTTGAGGAAGCTGAATCATTTGAAAAAATTAAGAAGCTTTGAAAAAATGGAAATATTATTTTTTCTTTTAAGGTTAAATACTAATATGATAAAATATCGGCCTACTTTTCTGTTTGACTTTTTTCTTTTTTTTTCTCTTTAAAGCATCTGTGATTTAGAAACTAGTTAGGATATACCAGTATAGATACACTTACTTTTAGTTAAGACTTTTATGATGGTTCCATTTACTTCTTTTTAGATCGTTCATCTTCTATATTAAAGTCTTTCCTCCTTATAAAAATAATGTTTTTGTGAAGATATCAGTTGATAGTATATATCTCAGAATAATTTAACTGTAAAAATTTATATGGCTGATAAATTACAAGTGAAGTGTATATTTAAGAAATACAGTTTTATTATTATAATCTTTTCTTTTTAAAATTTTTTCTTGGGACCAGCAGTTAGCATAATGGCTATGTCGCTGGACTCCCACGTAGTCGACCATGGTTCGAGTCCTGGACCCGGTGGCTTAAACTCATGCCGGGCGTGTGTGAGTGCGTACCCAAAATCCCAAGAGAAGAATGGAGGAGAAGGGATTGCAGCGTGGCCATCACCCCTGGGGGTGATTTCTT